CATCTTTTTAAAATCCTGATTTCTGGGCCTCATCCTCCAGAAATTCTGTTTCTTTGTTACTAATGTGGTGGCCCCACCCCATAACAAAGAAACAGAATTTCCGGAGAGTAAGGCCCAGAAATCAGGATTTTAAAAAGATTCCCAGGTGATTCTAATGTGCAGCCAAGGTTGAGAACCACTGCCTTAGAAAGAGCTGGGGGTCAGGTGTTATGAATCTAACTAAATTATATGGTGCTAAGATGGAGCTACAGGGAGCAGCAGTTCCAGGGTATATTTGCATTTTCAAAGGGCACCTTGCAACACAAATCCATGAGCAGAATGTCCAGGACAGACTTCCTGTTTCATTCACTGGACCAGGCTGGTCTCACTCTTGCCCCGGCTCTTCTGCTTGGTACCCTTTCTACTTTGAAGAATGGTCAGTCCCGCCTGTACCTTCTCAGCCCCCACATGTCTATCTCCTCTTCTTGCCACATCCATAGCTCTCCCCACCTCCTGCTCACTGCATCATCCAGCCCCTACACCTCAGCACTGGGGAGTGCACGCCTTGGATTAGGAGTCTGGCTGGAAGACTGGGGGTCCCATAAAAAGAATACAGGGTCCTTCTTGGGCACCCCGTGGAGGTGTGCAGCTCAGCCCTGTGCTACCCGCCCCGGGGGGCCCATGGGGCTGGTTACCATTCTGATTAGAGTGAGGACAGGTTCAGTAGCAACTTCCCCACCCTCCATGCCTTGAAAGAAGTTGAGACACAGGAGAAATTCTGGGGGCTGAGGTGAGGAGAGGCTGTCCTGAGCCACTCACCCCAGCTCTGGTCAGATTTGTCCCCAGTGAACCAGATATGCTGGGGGAGGCATCTCTCTCTCTCTCTCTCTCTCTCTCTCTCTCTCATCTCGAGGCAGGTATTTCCACATTGTTGCTGGCAGTGGAAGACTGTCACCTGGGCTGGTGTCTCAGGCTGGGGTTCCTGTAAAGGCCTAGCCGCAGGCCCTGTGTCTGTGTCCAGAGACTTGAGGGGCAGTGGATCCTGGGGAGATGGGTTCCAAGAACAGCTCTACCTCATTCCTCTACCTCCCCCCGCCTCCCCACCTCAGGGTGCCATGGCCCAGCAGAGGGTCTTGGGCTCCGCCTGCAGAGCATACTAAAATGCCCGAGTGAAGGGTCAGCTCTTGGGAATCTGGAATCTTGGGAAGACTAACCCGCAATGACCGCTGACTGGCTTCTCTCTATTCCCCTGAGACTAGAGAGAGCCGTGGGCTGGGCTGTAGCCTCGGGATTGAAGTTAGATTGGAGACATGCTCCTTGGAACAGACTGTGAGAACGTCCAGACCTCTGAAATGCAAAGGCCGCTCTCAGGGACTCTTCCTTTATCCCAGCTCAAGGCTGTCCAAGGTGGGAAATGCAGACCCCACAGCATCAGGACTTAAGGCTGGATCCTCCCTGGAGCTTCCAGACAAGGATGTGTGTGGGGTGTGGAGGAAGAGACCTCTTCAGGGTCTAGAAACGCCATCCTGCCCTAAGCAGGAGAGTCAAACCGTGACATGGCCCCCTCACTGGAATCTTCTAATTAGCTCCCTGTATGGCAAGGAGTCTGTCTGCCCTTGAAGATAAGCTCTGGCCCATAGGCCTGGGCCTGTAGACTTTGAATGAGTGTCTGCAGGGTAAGTTGAAGGCCCCTGACCTCTCCTGTTGGGTCCCTTTGTGGACTGTCCTGAGTCCTCAGGGGGCTGGGTGTGGAGCAAAGGAGGGTCACACTGACCAGCAGTGGGGAAAGGAGGAGCAGAAACTGTTCTGGCAAAGTTGGCTGATGACCCCGTTTTCTCCCTTTCAGGGACTCAGATGACCAAAGCATTGAACGGTAAGCAGCAAGACCTCTGGGTGGGGGACAGGAATAGGCTTGAAGCAGCAAGACTGGCCAGAGGCTCTCACACTCATCCGGAAGGAGACCCAGAATAAATGGGAAGGGCAGGGCATGGGGAATCCCAAAGTAAGGAAAAGTTGTGGCTCAGTGGAATTGGAGCCAGACAGGAAGACGGTCTGTACACTGCAGATGGCACAAAAGCATGGAGTATTGGAGATGGGGCATGAGGCATGAAGCATGGAGATGGAGCAGGAAAAAGTGACAGGAAAGAAGCAAAGGCTAGAACCTGAAGATCATTCTGCTGTAACAGTAACAGACTCCCTTGGGGTCACCCACCCTGAGTGAGACCCTCCCAACATATACACTGTGCTTCCAGGAGCCACTGTGTCAGGTCATGGGGTCAGATCTCTACATGGTGTCACCATCTCATGAGTGAGGTGTTTGAGGCCATGGGGGTGGGGTCGTTTCCCAAAGCTTGGAAGGATATGCCTGTGTCAGAGGCTGACCTGATGACCAGGTCTCTGACTTGCCCAAGGTCCCCAAGCAGGTCAGGGACAGGGAGGCCCCAGGATTGAGCAGAAAGTGGAAGCTGGAATGTGGGGTTGGGGTAGGTAATCAGCTGACGGAACCAACCCCCAGTGAGTGCTGCCCTGGTTGTGTTCCCCTAGTCTGCGGG